TTTCAAGATTAGGCTTCAAACTTTCCTTTTTGCTAAAGCATATAGTTAGGGCTGGACCAGGTGACCCTGAATCCTCCCTTAGTTATGCTGCAATAGACATAGGCTGCTGTTGTGATTTGGTGCCATATGAATAAAACTGAGTTGAGTGTAAATGAATGTTGATACTTACAACCACAGACTGTGACTGCAGCCTGCAGGAAGAACACAACAGGATAAATCCTTCAGTCTGAAAATATCTGTGCAGTTGTCTCTCTGAAAGCCTTCACACACCTGACACATAAAATCCTACAAATATTTTATGTGTTCTAAGTGTTTTTGGGACTCATCTGTTCATGCAGCAGCAACAAACAGGGTCCATGTTTCTGATTGTCACATGTCGATGTGTCTCTCACAGCTCTACACACACTGATACTGACACAGTAAAATTGTGTTTGACCAGATTCAGCTCCAGGCTGTGCCACGTGCTGATATGCGGAGCAAAGCTTCAGCTCCTGGACCAGACCAGGAAGTCCTCACTGATTCTGCTGACGCTTAGAGGACAGAAAAATGCCGTACTCAGTGTGTACGAGTTGCACGGCCAGTTCAGAACCAGAAAATTCAGAATTTTGTGGTGTTTCTTTGGCGGTGTGTGTAGGCCTTCAGATTTGGGGAGCAGATCGGATTTTTTGAAGCAGGAAGTGAACTTTCCTTTGGTGCTGCAGCTCCGACACCTGGACCAGGATCTGCTGAATCTCTGCCTCCATCTGAACACACATCAGTTCATCAGTTTACAGGAAACACCACAGCTTCAGTTCCTGTCCTGACAAATCCATCTACACGCTTCACTGTTTTCACAGAAACTAAGCAGGAAGTATTTAAGGTCTAAAGCAGACACATCTGCTCGACACTGAAATATCTGCTCGTTCTGAACTCTCCATGTCTGGACTGAGACCAGATGTTCCTCTGTGCTGCTTGTGAAACAAACAATACAAACTTATATACATTGTATTGTATGTATTGTAAGTGTCACAGAAAAGGTTTATGTATAAAGAAGTTTAATAGATGGTTCCAGCAGTTAAAATGTTCTTGCTTGTACGTTTCTGTGGTCAACATTGTAAGGGTGTGTTTATCTTGTCACAAAGAACCAGTTTTGTTACACCGCTATTATCGCGAGGTTTGGGCGTGATAGTATAGGCTGTGAGCCCACGTTTAATAATCACGCTAAGGAGTTCAGCGAGCTATCTGCAAAGGCCTGGTTAGTCTACCAGCGGTACAAGGTATTTGTCATTTGCCATAACTGTATTGTAATATTGTGAAAATTTGTAATGTGTGGTGTTCTAATTATTTTATGTTTTAATTTATAATGCACAAGACTGTAAAGCTATTCTTCTAGGACCTCTGAAGTGGCAGGCGGCCACGAGGTAATTTTTGTTGTTAAAGCACAAGTGTTACTTTTGATAGACTGAAGCGCTTAAAGCCTTTGTGTTTTATGTTTGTAGTTTTCACGGCGTTCAATAAATGCAGCGAAGTGCCCGTCTTGAAGAAGCCGTGCCTGTGTTGTCATTTCGGAGTTACATGTATCTTACATGACATATTTTCTCAAATATTTATTTCCCAATCATTTTGACTTTTGCTTGTTAAACAAAGACAAATTAAAATAATTTTAAGAATTTTTAAAATTTTAAACATCAAGAACAGAAAATTGAGAGAAAAAAAATGAAGAAAAAAGTTAGTAAATTAGAAAAAATATTAAATAAATAAATAAAATAAAGTAAAAATAAATAAAATTAAACAATAAATAAATACAAATAAAAGAATGGGGGGGGGGGCTTAAATCCTGTGCCTACCTTAAAAAAAGAGTAAATTTCAAATTCTTTTCAATCTAGTTGCAGGTGGGTAAATCACATTGTTCTAAGGAAAAGATCTGAGATATTCCACATATGCCACTTGTGGATAAATTTAGCAGGACTACCTTTCACTGTGAGTGAGATCGTCTCCACCCTCAAGAATGTCCGGACAGTATTAAGCCATTGCAATGCAGATGGAGGCGTAAAATACAGCGTCTAGCAAGAAGGGAACAAAAAGCCACGATCTCAGTTTGCTGGGGAGTTATATTAAGAGGGTCTCTGGAACTCCAAATATGGCAATTAGAGGGTCTTCTCGGATCGGATCCAAAAGCCTCTGAAAACCCAAAATGTGTTCAAACTTGGACAGAAGAAAACATATGGATTGCAGGGGGAGGTCACATTGATCTATAATTGAAGGAAAATTTTAGACAAACGGGATTTTGAGAAATGGACTCTGTTTATTACTTTACACCAGGGGTCGGCAACCTTTCTGATGACGAGTGCATCTAAAATTCCCTCAGCAGTCAGTGTGCCATATGATGCATTAGCAATAAATTTAATAACACTCTACACGAACAGTTACACACTATATAAACTTTACAGAATGATATTTGTTCGCAGATGTTGGCAGCTGTCAGCGAATAGTTCTCAGCTATTTTGAAACAAAACAAACACTTTTTATCCATAAATCCAGCTTCGTGTCTTTTCCATTGTAGCTGAAGTTCGGGAAAAACTGCTCCTTTTCAAGCTCAACACGAAACGCGTAATATTTTCTCTGAATACGAGACGATTGTTTTTTACGGGACGTGTGTTTGAATTACGGCCCAAGGGTTTTCACAGATTTCTATTTGTTTTATTTACACGTCACCACGTCCTGATCTGCAGGACCCTCAGTGACCCTGCGACAGTAACGGCAGCTGCACCGTCAGTCACAGGAAGCCTCTTGCTTCTTCTCATGAGAGTAACATCTGCTACCAGCAGCACCGTCTAACTTCAGCAACAAGACCATCATCATCATCGTCACCTTGACCTGCTCCAGCACACACCAAAGTGCACCTACATGTCATTGTACATATATCAGCGTGATCCTGAATCTTCGGAGCTCTGCTGTCAGAGGAAAATCGGGAGTATTACCTGTGAATCGGAGCTCGGCGATCCCGCTGTGAGGAAGCGTGTTACCTGCAGTGGTCTGAGTGACGGGAAGCTGTGTGTCCGAGGCCGGAGTGTCTGAGCGGGCTCTTTTTACCTCCCACGTCTGACTGCCATCCCCAGGGTCAGCCAATTAACTGTGACAGTATCCCCTCGGGCATTGCGTGCATCACTCCCTGTTCATTCACAAACGGCACAGAGCTCATCGGTGTTGCTCTCACTCCCTGGGGTGTTTCAGGCTTTCCAGCTGATGACGTCTCCGTGTTTGACTCCCTGACGCGTCTGCAGCGTTCAGGCCACCAGAGGCGCACTCACGGGTTTCGCAGTCGCACGTACTCATTAAGCTGCAGCTCTTCGGCCAGCAGTAATCACACCCCGTGTCCTGCCTGGACTTCAGGCTGAACATGGTTAAAGTTTAAAGTCCTTCTAAAAACAGCAGATCCAGTTTTCTCCAGCTGAGCTGCCGTCTGCCATCAGCTGGATGAAATCCTGGCCTTTAATTGGCTGGCTGCTAAAGAGGATGCCACCATTAAACACACAGTGGAAACAAGAGGACAACAGACAGTCCAGTCTGCTCTGTCAGCACGTCCAAACACGGAGGGCGGGCTCGGTGTCACTGCAGGGGGCGGGCCTCATCACAGCGCCCTGCAGCACCACCAGCTTCATGGCCCCGTTAAAGCCAACACACGCCATGAGGTTTCAGTCCAAAGGCTCTCACCGCTAATGCCGACCCGATCACAGGCTTCCTGAAGCACCTCGCTCACCGCTGTCGTGGGTTTTCTGCCACGTGCGGCTGAAGCTGCTCAGGATTCAGCACGCTGTGTGAACGCTGCCGAGGGTTTCGGGATATTTCTGCTTTCATGATGATGTGCAAAAATGAGAACATCACCATGGCAACTGATGGCTTTCTGTATTTGGACCAGTAAACATCTGATCAGCCACAGTTACAGGTCATGTCACAGAAAAAAAATAAACTCTGGTCTTTTATATTGTAAAAAAATGAAGTCCTACGTTTGTCTCCTCATCAAACCCGTCAAAGGCGAGGACCTCCACAGGGAGTGTAACCTCTGACCTCCAGGCTCTGCTCTCTGCTGGTGACCTCTGTCCTCGTCATGTAAAGCCCTCAGAAAGATCTCAGAGGAGCAACGGACCAGCAGCTGGTCAGAGATCAGTCACAGAGAGCTGCAGGAACAGAAGAAATCCAGACGTGAAGCCACCAAACAATCAGTCAAACCCAGAAGCAGACGCTCAGATACAGTTTTATTTTCCTAACAGGCACATTTAGCTCGTGATGGTTTGCACAGAAACACACTTTGTCAATGATTCACTGTCCAAAACCTTCCTCTGCGTTCAGCGATCACGTTTGCTTTCCCACACAGCAACACGGCAGAGCCGAGGCATCGCCTGTCCTCAGAACCAAAGAGCTCGGATCAGGACGGGCTCGGCGCCGGATGCGTCGTCATCGTGATCGGTGAAACACAAGAAGCTAAAGGACGAGTGAGCCAGCGAGGACCTAAACATCACAGATCTGCAAAGAAACGAAGACACAGAGGAGCTCGACGGCGTCATCTACCACAGAGTAACATTTCAAATCTATGAACTGTTCGTAGTTTCAGCGTCAGAGTCACGATCGTCGCTGTTACTGAGGGAAACGCCCTCACGCTGGTGAAGAGCGAGGGTTCGGCTTCTTCAGTGTGGAACAGACTGTGAAGGAAAGCCGTCCGACAGAGCTGCGGCGACAGGAAGTGGCGGCTGATGAAGTCTGGCGTTCAGGCCATTTTCCTGCTGAGCCGTGCTCCTCTCCTCTCAGTACATGAGGTCGGCCGCCCCGCTGCTCAGCTCCACCTCTTTGTTTTGTTGAAAGGGAAACTGGATTCCCGCCAGTCGGACCAGCAGGGCGTTCAGTCCCTGAAGGAGGAAGATGAGGAAGAAGAGCCAGAAGCATCGGTCGTAGCGCTCGGTGTACGTCTGGAAGATGAAATTCCCCTCATTGAAGTTGGCGATCCGCTCGGACAGACGACTGAGCTTTACCTCCGACACAAACAGGACCATGACGAGGCAGCTGCCGACACCTGCAGGAAACACAGACAGGAACCATCAGGCTTACCTCTGACCTCTGACCACATCACCCTTAGACACCACCTCCACCTCTGAGAAGGCCAGAGGAGGCGAACCAGATGCCACAACAGAAGGAGTGATGATGTCATCAGAGGAGCTCAGGCGGTGAAAATAAAACCCGTGATGGAGCTCATGGTAACATGGCTCAGCTGAGCTCAGGTCACATGACTGACAGGCCTCTCCAGTCTGTGCATCACTGGTTCCCCATCCAGGGTTTGGACCAACCATCCAACTGTGAGGAGCACAGGCTCCAACACTGCAGTTCCTCCCCCGTCCAGCGGGGGCAGCAGTGAGTTCGTCCACACAGACCGCTGCGTTAAGATGCTTCAGCCTGATGCATAAGCTGTGTGGTGCCTGTGAATATTGAGCCCTCGTAACACCTGTTTCTACAACACACCTGCATAAACTTTGCATCGTTAGGGGCGTGGCCTCAGACAGGTGCCGTGGCGGCCTGCTAGGCTTCTGCGGGCCTTTGTGAGTGAAACCGGAGTATTTGTGGGGACGCTGCCCGGCACTAATTGGGGTCTGCGGTTGCAGGCACACATTGGACGGGCCGATTAAGTGAAATGAACCCGGAGAAGGAGGAAATGAGCGGAGGATCGTTGGGTCTTAATGCTCGGCCAGGCCGCCCCCCGCCTGCTTTATCCCTCTCCTGCCCTGGGCTCTGTTATCAGGCTGTTTGTCTGTGATCCTCTCCGAACTCATTTCAGACCATCCATATTTTATATCTCGTTACAGGCTCACAGGGAGCCCGCCAACTGTCCCAGCATGTATTTCAGTGACACTGTCCTTCCTCTGCTCCCTCCATCTCTAACAGTCGTGCTTTTGGTCGTATTTTAGCGAACAGCTGTTCTTATCTTATCAGCCCTTCTTCAAATGATGACGTATTTGGCTGTGCTGGGGGCAACCGTGAGGACGGTTATCTTTGACACACGTTACAGTACAAACAAAAGCTTCCCGTGGACTGGCAGGTGAAGCTGTGAGGGTGTGGTTCTCACAGGTGATGAAGGTCCACAGGTAAAGTCCCACGGGGCCTTGCAGCGTCTCGTAGGGTCTGCCGAAGGCGTTGAAGAAGAAGAAGCCGGTGGCCACGGAGGAGAAGAGTGTCACAACACCACAGAAGAAGATGACGGTGACGTGGAGGCCCGTGGGGATGGCACTCAGGAGGTCAGGAAAGACTGGAAGACATCAAGAGACAGACCTGCAGTGAGAGGCGTGTCCGGTCTGCAGCGACCACAGAGGTCACCGAGCCTCAGGACACACAGCCAGCACTTCCTGTTAGAGGGTCAAACAGCAGGGCGAAGACACGCTGACACAAAGCAGACGAGACCGACACAGGAAGAGACAGAAACATGAAAAACAGAATCAAGAGCGCCAACGTGACAGAAAATCTTCTGTAAACTCACAGAGACAGGAAGTGTGCAAAACAGACACAAGAAGTGAACATTGTCAGATATTTAATAAGAGATTTAAAACCAGAGAACACGAGCTGCTGGAACCCGGAGCGTGCTCCACCTCCCCACTAAGTTCAGCTGTGACAGTAACACCCCCACTGCTGGAACACCCACGAAGGCTGACAAACGTCCCACAGAGACGCTGACGTGAAACAAAAAGCTCTGCACTGAAGCAGAGACGCAGGTCCTGCAGGGACAGAGCGGCTTTGTCTCTGCTCGCAGATCCCACGCAATCAGGCGGAAACCTCATTAGTGCCGCGCTGCCCAGGACCTCAGAGGGAGCTGCTTCCTGTCCCAGCGCTCACAGAGTCACGTAACAAATGTTTATTCGCCCGTTTGGAAAAGATTATCTGACAGTGGTTTCACATCTGCAGCTGTATTCATTTAACCTTTAATTAACCTTATTTATGAAGGACGCCTGCTGCTGGCCGTGTGTCCGAGCCAATGAGACGAGCTCAGCCTGCGTGACTGTGACGTTCACGCACAGTCAGAGCTGCCAGAGGCAGAGCTCAGCGTTTGTCTCAGATCAGCATCAGGGTTCAGAAATCATTTTTCTGCCACCCCAGTGACAACAGCGCTCCGGCTCCAAAACCCCCAAATCAGAAATGCTGATGCTGATTGTGGTCTGGGTCCTGGCTCTTCAGTTTATGGAGTTCTGGTTACTATGAAATCTCATCTGTTTGACATCTTGAACTTTTCAGTTTGCTGTCCCAATTGAGTCAGTGTTTTTATTTTTATAGTTTTTAGTTTTTTTCAGCTGAAATATTTTCTGTCACAACAATAATGTGATGACAGCAGTCACTGCAGATCAATGAACAGGGTTATTGATTAACCTGATTATTATTAATGCAGAGTTGTTGATAAAGCCGTGAGCAGACTCGCAGCAGCTCGTGCGTGAATTACTGCTCGTGCGCGTGCATCATCGGCGATCACTCACAGGAGAAGCGCGCCGCGCGGCCCCCCAGCCCGCACTGCTTCACGCGCTGTCCGTGGAACAGCCCGTAGCTCAGCTCGCCCACGAACTTGTCCAGCTCGGCCCCGGTGGCGTTGACGAGCTCGGCCCCGGTGCGGCACAGCACGGCCCCGCGGAGCCAGAGTGGCAGGCCGGTGGCCACCGCGGCCGTGAGCGCACAGGAGAGGCCGAGGAGCCCGCACACGGAGAAGAGGAGCTGCTTCTGTCTGCCCGGCATGATGGAGGAGGAGGAGCCGGGGGAGGAGGCCACCACCACAACGCCCCCGCCTCCACCTCCGGGAGGAGGGGGGACCGCGGGAAACGTCAGGTGCCAGCGCACACCTGCGCTGGGTCCATGGCAACAAGGGCTCGGTTTACAGCCAGGAGGTTCGAGTTCTCATTAAAGACGAAGCACGAGACTGTGATGCGCGCGCCCGCAGCAGACTCATCTTTCCTTCACACCTTACTGCTGAGCGCGGTTTGTGGTCACGTGGGACCTTTTTCAGCCTAAAACCAGCTCTGTGACATATCACGGAGGTGGACAGGAAGTGATGCTGAAATATTCAGATAACCTCTGGAATAAGACTGAAACAGAGGCGGGGAAGGTTTCAGGTATCACCCTGGGTCAGCACACCTGAGTCACATGAGCTCATCACCATGCCTCTGCAGAACTTTTTAATTCAGCCTTTTAAATCAGCTGACACCTCTAAAACCAGGCTGCGGCCTGGAGTTCCTGACCACTGGTCTAACAGGTAAAACACTGAGAACGGAAGTGAGTGACTGGAGCAGGAAGCAGGAGATATCGCCATCTTTTACATCCAGTCTGTTTTCTTCTATGACACTGTGCTAGCGCCCGCCTCTCTCTACGCAGTGACCTGCTGGGGGAGCAGATCCACGGACAGGAGCAGGATTGACAAACTGGTGCGGAGGTCTAGCTCTGTGCTGGGATGTCCTCTGGAGTCTGTGGAGGTGGTGGGCGACAGGAGGATGTTAGTAAAGCTGGCATCCATCATGAACAACCCACACCACCCTCTGCATGAGTGTGTGAGTGTGCTGAGCAGCTCAGAGACCTAAACGCCCTCACAGATCAGTCAGCAGCAGTTAGCCTCCTCGATCATGATGTCATGAGTCACGTGGACAACCACAGTCACCGCCACATGGATAATGCACCTTATATGTATGGACGTGTGCATGTGTGTATATATATATGTGTATATTTGGTGTGTATGGATGTATGTGTATTTGTACGTGTGTTTGCACGTACATATCTATCCTTATGGATTTCTTAGATAGAAGAATAGCTGAAATGAATTTCTTGCATGTTTTTCTCCGTCACACACACTGTTTGTGCGTGTACATAGAACCTCAGTTACCGTGGTATATATTGTATTATCTTATTGATTTTGTATTTTTGGGCTTTGTATTCTTCTGCTCTCTGTACCTGAGCTGTGGGAACGCACGCATTTCCCCGCCGTCAGGTCAATAAAGACTCATCTTATCTTACTTCTTAACAAAGAGGTTTTATTGTGTAAAACCACAGGAAGTGTCTGTGCTGTCATTAGTGCTTTTACTGTGAAAAGACATGTGAGGAAAACGCTGAGGGTCTTCAGGTGAGGTCATGGTAGGTCACGTGTTTTTCCTTCGTGCCAGAGGCTGATGTACTGCATGTAAAAGTACTTTGACTGCGCCACTGTCACACAGGCCGGATGTACTTTTACAAGTGTACATCTCTTAAATCGGGTCTTTTCTGACTGGACTCTGGCAGCTGCTGCAGTCAGGAAACAGGAAGTTGATTAACTGTGACGTAAAACAGGTAAACAAACAAACGGACTTCAATACGAAAAGAATCACTTTGAGCCCCAGAGGGCGCTGCTGTTCCTCCAGGCTGCTTCGGCATGGCACGTGATGACGTAAGCCTCTCAGTATACGTCCGCCGGGGTGAAGCCCGGGGGTCGGTGTCCGGAGGAGCGCAGAGGAGCCGCCGAAGGAGCTGAGAGGAGCTGCCACGTCCAACATGAGGTAAGGAGTTTCGGGTCACGTGATTGCAGGTTCTTGTAGTCGGTGCTGATCAGGATCAATACTCAGACTCACTGACGGACGCGGTGTAGCGGAACTCCAGGTGATCAGGTGTCATAAACGCGCCGCGGGGGCGTGGTCCCACAGCTCAGCGCTCACGCAGGTGGAGGTGATGAAGAGGGAGGATGAAGGTTTGTGCGCTTGGGTCTCAGAGTGAAAGGAGCTGCGGGCCACTGCTGGCTCTGTCATCTGATTGGAGGAGATTTTAGCGTTCAAGTATGTCTGTGAAGGTTCTGAGTCATCCAGGTCATCGTAGTCAAAGGAGCTTGCAAAGAAAAGCGTCTGGACTTCTTTAAGTTGCTTGAAGACGTTTCATCTCTCATCCGAGAAGCTTCTTCAGTTCTAAGGTCAGATGGTGGAGAGTCCCAGATTTAAACCTAGTGGGAGTTTCCCCCCACAGAGGGACAAAAGGACCCCCTGATGATCCTCTAATCGCCTGAGCCAAGGTGTGAAACTGGGTGTGGGCCCCAATCAGCCAGAGTTTCAGGTGTGCTTACTGTGAAGGTGGGGGTCAGGTTTCACAATGGCACAGAACTGAAGCTTCTGGATGAGAGGTGAAACGTCTTCAAGCAACTTAAAGAAGTCCAGACGCTTTTCTCTGTAAGCTCCTTTGACTAGTGCTCAAGTAGTACAAAACAAACAAATATTTCCTAAAATGTGTTTGTTTTTAAAATTTCAAATGTTGTGTAACAAGAGTTTGTTTCCAATCTCTTAACCAGTGTTGGTAATCGATTACATTACTGCCCATCTCTGCTCTTCACTAACACAAGGGTCTGTGCACACACATGCAGCACTGCGGCCGTCGTTGTGTTTGTATGCAACAAACTGCACATAAGTGCGTGCATTAGTCTGTGAGTCTGTCACTGCACTCACACAGCCTCAGCATGTTTGTGCTCTCTGCTCATGTTGGCTTCAGATTCATCTTTTTTGGCTTTTTAAAGAACTTATTTTAACAAAAAGTCACTTCAGGGGTCAAAGTGCATTATATTTCTGCACATCAAGGTACGGGCAGCGAGTGGCCCCCAGGCCACGGTTTGAGACCCCTGGGTTAGGGTGTGAGTTTACTGTAGTGGCTGCACACGTCACTGAAACTGAGGAACAGCTGAAGCAAAGCGGTTATAAAATGTGAAACTATCATTGGCTGGGCGTTTCCTTTCCAACATCCAGCGAGCAGCAGATGCCTCGCTAAGGTCAGAGGTCAGGAGAGCGGACAGGCTGCTGATAGGAAGCAGCCTTTCTGGAACCTGACTGACGTCCAATCAGGTGCTAACCAGCTGTACCAAATAAAGTGTCAGGGGGGCAAGGCAAGTTTATTTGTACAGCACAATTCAACAACAAAGTGATTCAAAGTGCCTTATAGAGACATTAGAAACAAAACCAAATAAAAAGCATGATTTAAAATTGATTAAAACAAGCAAACAAACAAACAAACAAACAAAAACAGTAGATAAAATCAGTAGTTAAAATGTAAGTTTTAAAATTTAAGCTTAAAAGTGTGGATTTGGTGCTTTATTCAAATGCAGCTGAGAACAGGTGAGTCTTCAACCTGGATTTAAATAAACTGAGTGTTTCAGCTGATCTGAGGCTTTCTGGGAGTTTGTTCCAGATATAAGGAGCATAAAAGCTGAATGCAGCTTCTCCGTGTCTGGTTCTGACTCTGGGAACTGATAAAAGACCGGATCCAGATGACCTGAGGGATCTGGAAGGTTCATACTGGGTCAGGAGGTCACTGATGTATTTTGGTCCTAAACCATTCAGAGCTTTATAGACCAGCATCAGGACTTTAAAGTCTATCCTCTGACGGACAGGCAGCCAGTGTAAAGACCTCAGAGCTGGACTGATGTGGTCCACTTTTTTGGTCTTAGTGAGGACTCGAGCAGCAGAGTTCTGAATGAGCTGTAGTTGTCTGACTGATTTTTTAGGTAGACCTGTAAAGATGCTGTTACAGTAATCAAGCCTACTAAAGATGAATGCATGGACTAGTTTTTCCAGGTCCTGTTGAGACATCAGATCTTTTATCCTTGAAATATTCTTGAGGTGATAGTAAGCTGATTTTGTTATTGTCTTAATGTGTTTTTCTAAGTTTAGGTCTGCATCCATCACTACACCCAAATTTCTCGCCTGGTTTGTGGTTTTTAGATGTATAGATTGAAGTTCTCTGGTGACCTGTAATCGTTTTTCTTTGGCGCCAAAGACTATTACCTCAGTTTTGTTTTTGTTTAGCTGGAGAAAATTGTGGCACAACCAGTCATTAATTTCCTCAATGCATTTACCAAGAGCCTGTACAGGGCCTCGGTCTCCTGGTGACATTGTGATATATATTTGTGTGTCATCTGCATAGCTGTGATAGTTTATTTTGTTGTTGTTTATAATCTGTGCCAGTGGGAGCATGTAGATGTTAAACAGAAGGGGTCCCAAGATGGAACCTTGGGGAACTCCACATGTGATACTTGTCTGCTCAGATGTGAAGTTACCTATTGATACAAAGTATTTCCTGTTTTCTAAGTATGTTTTGAACCAGTTTAGTACAGTTCCTGAAAGACCTGTCCAGTTCTCCAGTCGTTTGAGTAATATGTTGTGGTCAACTGTATCAAATGCTGCACTGAGATCCAGTAAAACTAAGACTGACATTTTTCCACTGTCTGTATTCAGACATATGTCATTAAACACTTTGGTCAGAGCGGTTTCAGTGCTGTGGTTCTGTCTAAAACCTGACTGGAAGGCATCGTAGCAATTATTCTGTTTTAAGAAGTAACTGAGCTGTTGAGAAACTGCTTTTTCAATGATCTTACTTAAAAACGGGAGATTTGAGATCGGCCTGTAGTTGTTCATTTGTGTCTTGTCAAGATTGTCCTTTTTCAGTATAGGTTTGATTACAGCAGTTTTTAGTGATTCTGGAAACACACCTGATAATAAAGAAAAGTTGACGATCTGTAACAGGTCTGACTCTAAAGTCTTTGAGACCTTTTTGAAAAAACTTGTTGGCAGGACATCTAAACAGCAGGAGGAGGAGTTCAGTTGACCTAAGATGTCCTCCAGGTCTTTGCTGTTAATAGGTTGAAACTGTTTCATGGTGTTTAAACAGTTTTTTGGTGGACACAGTACATATCCTGGATCTGCTGTTGATGTACCAATTGCTTGTCTAATTTTTTGGATTTTGTCTGTGAAGAATTTGGCAAAGTCATTGCAGGCCATGGTTGAATGAAGTTCAGCTGCCACTGACACAGGAGGGTTTGTTAGCCTGTCAACTGTAGAAAATAAGACCCGAGCATTATGGCTGTTTTTAGTGATGATGTCAGAGAAGTAGGACCTCCTTGCACTCCTCAGTTGTAAATTATAATTGTGAAGTTTCTCTTTATAGATGTCATAATGAACCTGGAGGTTTGTTTTTCTCCATCTGCGCTCAGCTTTCCTACACTCTCTTTTTTCATTTTTCACCAGTGTGGAGTTTCTCCATGGAGACTTTTTCCTTCCAGAGATAACCTTCACCTTAATGGGAGCAATAGTGTCCATTACATTTAACATGTTAGCATTGAAGCTATTGACGAGCTCATTGACTGACCCTCTGGACAGGTCAGGTGTTAATGGGAAGACCTGGTTAAAAATTGCACTACTGTGTTCAGTTATACACCGTTTTGTGATCACTGTTGTTGATATATTTGTGTGGGCTGAGATTTTACTTTCAAAGAAAAAGGGCGTGTTTACTGACGGTGCTGGGTGGGAGCAGGCTTTCACTGAGCATGTGCAGTAGGAACAGGCTGGTGTGCGTGTAACGTTCGCTGAAGGATGCGTGCGGGCCTGGTCTCAGGCCTCTGATGAGGAGGGGGCCGGACCTCTGTGACGTCCTGACGAGTGTCGCTTTGCTTCCTCTCAGACTCATCCTCATCTCGCTGCTCTTCTCGCTCGGACTCGGTGCTCAGCAGCTGTCGCTGTCGGGGATGTACGGCAGCCTGTGCTCACCAAACTTCCCGGAGCCGTATCCCCGGGACACGCAGCTGCGCTGGAACGTCAGCGTTCCCGACGGCTTCCAGATCAAGCTCTACTTCAGCCACTTCGACCTGGAGCCGTCTTACCTGTGCGAGTACGACTACGTCAAGGTGAGACACGGCATGCCAGTTTTTGGTGTGTGTGTGTGTGTTTGCGCGCCACAGTGATGTCACAAACTATGGTTCTCTGTCTGCAGGTGGAGGCTGAGGGGGAGGTGCTGGCGCTGTTCTGTGGGAAGGAGCAGACGGACACGGAGGCGGTGCCGGCTCAGCAGGCCCTCACTTCCCCCAGAAACTCCCTCAGCCTCCTCTTCTCCTCCGACTTCTCCGACGAGGAGCGGTTCTCCGGGTTCGTGGCTCACTACAGCGCCGTGGGTAAGAACCAGACCCAGCCCGCCCGAGCAGACGGGTTCGGTCTCTCGCCATGACGTCTCCTCTGGAGCCGGAGTTTGGACCTTCAGGTGTTCATCGGAGTTCTGCTCGGTGCTGGTCTGAAGGTGGGACCGAGCAGAACTCTGACGAGCAGTGAGCGAGTCTGCGGACTTCCTGTTTCAGTGCGACTCAGTTTCAGAGGTCACCTGACAAAAAGGCGCAGTTTGTTTGCGTTTCTCATCTGATGCTTGTTTCCTGTCTCCTCTGGTCCCGCCTCTGGCCCCGCCCCTCTAGACGTAGACGAGTGCAGCGAGCGGAGTGGCGAGGACGCGCTCTGCGATCATTTCTGCCACAACTACATCGGAGGATACTACTGCTCCTGTCGCTATGGTTACCGGCTGCACTCTGACAACCACACCTGCAGAGGTGAGCGCAGACATCGGCTCGGGTGTCATAATCCACAGCACCCACAGCTGATCGCTCGCGTTCATCCACAAGTACAGTAGCGTGCGCTGCGGGGCTCTGCTTTCCAAAGATATGAGCCCCACATGAACCACGGGTGGGGGAGGAATGTGTGGGTCCTCACGTGTCCTGACAGATCAGCGCTGTGGACCGTGACCTCGCTGTGACTGATAGCGGCGCCTGATCGGTGGTAAATATTTGCGTGTTTCTGTGTGGGGGAGGCGGGCTCTGTCTGAGTTCTGCCTGTGCGTGTTCACGTCTGAGGGTTTGCTACAGAGCGACGACCTCTCGGTGACCTCTGACTGATTACAGAACCATTATAACACAACACACTGAGTGTGCAAAAGTCTTGAGTCTCACCGCTTTTCTTTTCTTCCGGTTAGCCACACCCCTTTAATGTCTCATATTTTTTTCCCCTCCCAAACATGGATGCAACAAATATGATACAAAACACAGATATACAAATGAGTATTTAATCCACTGTGATCGTTCAGGAACATCTGGAAACATCTGACTATCAGCATGACAACAGTGCAAACACAAAGCTGTGCATTAAAGCACAGCTGGATAGAAACACACAAGCCTGTGAGAGCCGAACATCAGTGTGGGAAGAGCTCTGAGTGTCCTTCAGGAAGCCTGCAGATCCTCAGAGAGCAAATATACAAACTCAGTTTTTGACTCTGCTTTTCTGTGTGTGTGTGTGTGTGTGTGTGTGTGTGTGTGTGTGTGTGTGTGTGTGTGTGTGTGTGTGTGTGTGTGCTAAAATGCACTACTGTAAATGATGTATAGACAATCATTCTGTACAATACAATAATTATAGTTCTACAACTGTTTATTAATAGTAGCAATTGTATCTCTACAATCTCAAATAGTTTTCATATTTTAACCATATTTATATCCTGTTCATAGCTTGTACACTCACTGCAGCCAGTACATACTTAGAGCATATTCATAACATGCCTTCATACCGTGTACATTGTAACATACCTATAATAGATCCATATTTTGTAATATATCAATATTATTGCCAAAGCACTTTCTGGATGGATGCAAACTGCATTTCTGTTGTCTTGCACTTGTGACGTGTGCAATCACAGTAAAGTTGAATTCTATTCTGTTCAGTGGAGTGCAGCAGCGATGTGTTCAGGGAACGGTCCGGAGTTCTGAGCAGCATTGACTTCCCTGCTCCGTACCCAAAGAGCTGCGAGTGCTTGTACCGCATCGAGGTGGAGGATGGCTTCAGGCTCCGCCTCCAGTTTGACTCACACTTTGATGTGGAGGATCACCCTGACGTCAGCTGTCCCTATGACTACATTAAGGTGAAGAAAACACACACACAGACACACACTCGGGTGACGTGTTGGAGCTGTTAATCAGCTGTTTTCCTGTCAGATTAAAGCAGGAAGTGCTGTGTTCGGTCCGTTCTGCGGCGATCGATCTCCAGGAGTCATTCAGACCGACAGCAACGTGGCCTCCGTCGTGTTCCACAGCGATAGCTCTGGAGAAAACCTCGGCTGGAGGCTCGGCTACACGGCTACAGGTGAGTCCATGTCCAGGTGCTGCAAACAGACACACAGCTGGGAGTTATAGCTTTTATTGTCTCCTGACAGGAAGTCAATGTCCCATGCCCAATACTCCGCCCAACGCCCTGATGAACCCCTTCCAATCAGAATACTTCTTTAAAGACCACATCCTGTTCACCTGTGAGCCTGGATACCACCTGCTGAAGGTAGGGGGCGTGTCACATCAGCTGAGTTTGGTCAACCCAAATGATGTTTAGTTTGCTCCAAAAACAGCGGCGCTGCGCACGTGAAGGAATGGGCCAGCGCACTGGCGTCCGTTTGACAGATCGAACTGTCAAACGGATCGGTCACGCAGAGCGCGAACGCGGCTTGCGTCTGAGCTATGCGCCACAGGTGTAGATCAGCTGTGCGGGTCACATGGTCTGCAGTGATGCTGCTTGTTGCTAACCTGGCTGCGCTGTCTCTGCTCAGGACGGAGGTCACCTGGATCACTATCAGATCGACTGCCGGGCCGATGGATCGTGGAGCGACCGTCCTCCTCCGTGCCACAGTAAGACTGCTCGACCTTTGACCTCTCCAGAGTGTTTGTGTTTCAGTGTCTCCCGTGTTTGAGTCTGGGTTACTGCTGCTGCAACCTGTTTCCTGGAGCACACACGCCACCTGCTGGCTCTCTGCAGACTCTACAGGAGCGTCACAGTAGTGCTAGTTAGGCTTTCGTTTAGTAAACCTGAAGCTCCGCCTTTTCTGATGCTCTGTTAGTACAGTAGTGACCTCACAGCAGCCATGTTATTGGTCACATGATGTCATTAAAAGGCTCCAACAGCACAAACACGGCCCACGGGTCCAGCTCAGGTGAAGTTAGTAGCTACAGCCACCTGTGTCACCATCCACATGCCAGTCGCAGAGGCCACGCCCCTAATAATGCAAACAGGTGAGTTACGACTGACATGTTTATTTTACCACCGCGGGGAGGGGGGGACTGGCTGACCAGGCAAGTCGTGCTGTGGTAGGCAGGCACCGCCGTGGCATCCTGCAGATCAGTTTTGAGACTGACAGGTAGCTGTCTGTGCAGGTGCTGAGAGACGGTTCAGGTCTGCTCACACACTTTCCTCTCGCTCTCGTTTCTCTGCAGACTCCAGGAGGAAGCCAAGCTCTCTGTCCAGCATCCGGACCAATCACAGCCTAGCTTAATGAGCAAGCCAGTCTCATTGGCTGATAAAGATACTGCAGGAGCGAACAGTGTTGATGCGTTTGTATTTTCCAATAAAGCGTAAAACCAGAAGCTTCTGTCGTGTGTCTGTGACTCACATTCAGGGATCGCGGCGCTGATGTGTTTCTGTCACACATGTTCGCGTTCTTTGTCTCGATGCGTGTTCCCGTGACGCCCCCTTCAGGACACGCTGACTCTTCAGCCTGTCGGGTCTCACGTTACGTTGAGATGAGTTTCAGATTAAAATCACGTCACACTCACGTGTCTGGATCATTGGAACACGTCAGTTCTGATTCGTTGTCGCTGTCGGTCAGCTGTAGTTTGGTTCTGGCTCATTCTTCCTCCTTTCTGCTCAGACTCAAAGCTGATTGGTGTTTTTGTCCTGTCTGTCACAGTGGTGGATTGTGGGAGTCCAAAGATGGTCGACATGGCTGACGTGGTGTTTGGTAACCATGACAACAGCACACTGTTCGGTGCGACCGTTCAGTACGTGTGCAGGGAGGGCGGCGTCCAGCTTAACAGTAAGAGGTCTTCCTGTTTGGTTTCCTTCAGTGGTTGCTGTGCAGTGACAGCTCATCCGATTATTGGCTGAACCTTGTTGTTCCTCGAGCTCTGTGTCTGGTTGTAGTAAGGAAATGTTTTTATTCATTTTTATTATTTTGTTCTCATCTTTGGGCAATTTGCTCCTCATCTGTTTTTAAACATGTTGATAAAAACTGAACCTGCTATTGATAACCAGAGGCCTCCTCACACTCCGGTTACTGTTTGTAGCTTCATACAGGTGTGGTCTGAGTGGAGACTGGGTTGATTCAGAAGGAAGGAGCACAGTACCCACCTGTCTGCCAAGTACCTGCCCGTCTGCCTGTTCACCTGTCTGTCTGTTCACGTGTCTGCCTGTTCACCTGTCTGCCTGTTCACCTGTCTGTCTGTTCACCTGTCTGCCTGTTCACCTGTCTGCCAAGTCTGCACCTGTCTGTCTGTTACCTGTCTGTCTGTTACCTGTACCTGTCTGTCTGTTCACCTGTCTGCTGTTCACCTGTCTGTCTGTTCAACCTGTCTGTCTGTTAACCTGTCTGTCTGTATACACCTGTCTGTCTGTTCAACCTGTCTGTCTGATAACCTGTCTTTCTTTTCACCTGTCTGCCTGTTAACCTGTCTGTCTGTACCCTGTCTGTTCACCTGTCTGTCTGTTCACCTGTCTGTTTTCCTGCTTCTTACCCTGTACCTGTTGCTGATAACCTGTCTTTCTTTTCACCTGTCTGTCTGATAACCTGTCTGCTGATCACCTGTCTGCCTGATAACCGTCGCCTGATACCTGTCTGCTTACCTGTCTGTGCTGTACCTGTCTGCCTGTTCACCTGTCTGCTGATAACCTGTCTGCTTCTCTTTCACCTGTCGTTGCCTGTCGTAACCTGTCTGTCTGTTCACCTGTCTGTCTGTTCACCTGTCTGTCTGTTCACCTGTCTGTCTGTTCACCTGTCTTTTCACCTGTCTCTTTTCACCTGTCTGCCTGTTCACGTCTTGTACTGTCTGCTGTAACCTGTCTTCTGTTACTCTCCTGTTCCTGCACTGTCTGTTGTCACCTGTCTGTCTGTTCACCTGTCTTTCTTTTCACCTGTCTTTCTTTCACCTGCTGCTGTTCCTGCTGTCTACCTCTGTCTGTACCTGTTCCGTTAACCTGTCTGCCTGTTAACCTGTCTGTTCAACCTGTCTGCCTGTTAACCTGTCTGCCTGTTAACCTGTCTGCCTGTTAACCTGTCTGCCTTAACCTGTCTGCCTTTTCACCTGTCTGCCGTTCACGTCTGTCTGTCTGATAACCTGTCTTTCTTTTCACCTGTCTGCCTGTTAACCTGTCTGTCACCTGTCTGCCTGTTAACCTGTCTGCCTGTTACCTGTCTGCCTGTTCACCTGTCTGTCTGTTCACCTGTCTGCCTGTTAACCTGTCTGTCCTGTCTAACCTGTCTGCCTGTTAACCTGTCTGCCTGTTAACCTGTCTTTCTTTTCACCTGTCTGCCTGTTCACCTGTCTGCCTGTCTGTCTGATAACCTGTCTTTCTTTTCACCTGTCTGCCTGTTAACCTGTCTGTTCACCTGTCTGCCTGTTCACCTGTCTGCCTGTTACTGTCTGTCTGATAACCTGTCTGCCTGTTACCTGTCTTCTTTTCACCTGTCTTTCTTTTCACCTGTCTGCCTGTTCACCTGTCTGCCTGTCTGTCTGATAACCTGTCTTTCTTTTCACCTGTCTGCCTGTTAACCTGTCTGCCTGTTAACCTGTCTGATCACCTGTCTGCCTGTTAACCTGTCTGCATGTTAACCTGTCTGATAACTGTCTGCCTGTTCATCTGTCTGTCTGATAACCTGTCTGCCTGATGTCTCTGCGTGTCCAGCCTGCGGCCAGCCATCCCGCCCTCTCCCCCCTCAGGTGAAGCGGATTGTGGGCGGTCGTAGCGCCGAGCCTGGCTTCTTCCCCTGGCAGGTCCTGCTCAGTGTGGAGGACCTGTCCAGGGTCCCAGAGGATCGCTGGTTCGGCTCCGGGGCCCTGCTGTCGCAGTCCTGGGTCCTCACAGCTGCCCACATCCTGCGGTCCCTGAGGAGGGACACCAGTGTTGTTCCCGTGGCCGCTGACCACGTCAAGGTTTCTGAAGTTCTCACCTATATCTGTGATCAGCTTTGTGTCTCTGCCAAACCGTGGGACGGATGCTTATCGGCTGTAAGTGACCTGCTTGTTCTGTCCTTCAGGTCTTCCTTGGTCTCCATGATGCCAGAGACAAACGTCGGGCCACCAACCTCTCCGTAGACCGGATCTTCCTCCACCCGGACTTCCAACCCAACAACTACAACAACGACATCGCCCTGCTGAGGCTGAGTGAGCGGGTGGAGTTTAACCAACTCATCCGTCCAGTCTGTCTCCCACTGCCTCACACACAGGTGGGTCACAGCTCCAGCTGAGTCTGCACAAAGCCGTGTTCACTTAGGTGTGATCTCCCAACACAAAGGTCAGAGGTCACAGGGAGAGGTCCTCTGAGCTGACAGACACAAAGGTTATCAGACAGACATGTTAACAGACAGAATTAAAATCCTTGTAAGAGACTGAAAATGTAAAACTAATAATAAAAGTCTGCTTTATAAAAAACTAGAATGACTTTAAAAGGATCTCAGTGATTAGGTGGAGTTAGCTTTCCTGAGCTCTTCAGGCAGGAAGACCCGGTTAAGGCCTCCTTACCTGTACAGGTGTCCGTGAGTCTGCCAGAGTGTGCTTGGCAAAGTCGGGGTAAAAACAAAGCATGGTGCTCAGCAGCAGTGCATGAACGTGAAGCCGAACCTCACCTATGCTGAGCTTGCTCCAAAGGTCAGCTGGTCCCCTCATTAAAGACGGGGGGAGGAGCTACTCCTCGACACTGAGGCTGTGTCCCAATTCAGGGTCTGCACGCTTGAAGTACGCATTT